TCTGCCAGGGTGTCAGGGTGATAGGGTAAAAGATGGAGTTCTAGAACTTCGTGGATATAACGCTGCGCGTTCATGTTACCTCTGATGAAGATTAAAGGTGACCTGGAACCATAAGCTAAAGCACCCCAAACCATAACTCCAACAGTGTGATGAACATGTCTTTCAACAAAAAACTGTGGATTCCTCCTTTCACCACGTCGCCTTCTAACCCTGGCACGACCATCGTGCATGCCTAAACAAAATCGAGACTCGTCATTAAAGACAATACTGTTCCATTCCTGATCTCAGAGTGACCGTTGTCTGCACCACTCAAGGCGATTACGTCGGTGTTCTCGAGTTAAAGAGAGGACCCAGTGTGGCCGGTATGAAAACAAGCCAAAACTTCTCATTCGTCGGTAAACACTTCGCATGCCAATAGGTCTTCCGCGTTCTGCAAACCATTGATTTGCAATGGACCTGGTAGTGGACAAACGATCCCTTAAGGCCAATATTCTTAGGCGGCGATCTTCACGGTCTGTTGTCTACGGTGGCGTCCAGTGCCCCTTGCTCTTTGCGTACGGCCTTCTCGAAGCCATGCCTGACAACACCTAACCACAGTGTCTACACTTCTTTGCACTCTAACTGCAATTGCCCGAAAAGAAAGTCCATCTTCCCGAAGTCCCACTATACGGCCCCTATCAAACTCACTAAGTTGAAGAAATCGTACAGGTCTCCGTACTCTAGGCATCGTAACCGATCGTAAAGGATGTCAAGAAGCAAAATCCGCCAACGTTGATTCTTTACTGCGGCTGAAATATTCATTTTTAGAGCGTTAGTGAATTAAAAAAAAAGCAGTATAAAAACCAGAATGTCCAACTGATAAGGTTGAAAATTTTTTCACTTGTTATTTACAGTAAGATAAATACATTCACCAACTTTTATTAAAATATAATATTTAAACTGGGTGTTCGGATTTATATGTCACTTAGTATATAATTATAAAAGGTCGTTATTGGAATAGACAACATGTACATCACATCTTATTCGTTATAGGCGCAGTCTAGATAAATCTATCATGTCCCAGACAGGTTCAATTGGAGATAGGTCAAGCGATAGTGGTGGCCAACGTAAACGGTTGATGCGATGTTGATCCATGAAGGCTAACGAAGCTCTGGTAATGTGCGGTCTGGTATTGTCTTGCCGAAAAATCGGGTTTAGGATGGTGTCTAGGTATGGAAAAAGATGATGCTCCACTACTTCCTAAATATAGCGTCGGGCTGTCATTTTGCCTGTGATAAAAATTAGCGTTGATCTGTTACCATAAGCAATGACTCCCGCGGTGTGATGAACGTGACGCTCCCTGTCAAATTGTGGGTCACGTCTTTCACCACGTCGCCTTGTCACTCTTGCCCACCATCGTGCATCCCCATAGAATCCTTTCTCTGCACCAGAGCAAACGGTTACTCCGATGTTCAGCTGTGAGAGGTGGCATCCAATGTGGGCGATAAGAAAAAAGGCCAAACTGTCGCATTCAGCGATATACCGTACGTAATGGGTGATTTTTTTGCTAGTATCTTTTTGGCAACACTGTTTTTGACAGATGACGCGTGAATCGTGTCTTGTGTCATTGTCAAACTTGTTCAGTTTGGTCGACAATCGACAACGCTTGCAAATTATTGAATTTTACTATCAAAATTCCTGCTCGGTTAAGAGAGTGCATCGAGCACTGCTTCCAATTGATGGGCAATTTGGTCGGCCTACTGAGGGAGCTATTCGGAAGCTTGTGACTAAATTTCGAACCCAGTTTATATTATTGGACATTAAACCACCAACACGCAGACGTAGAGTGAGGACTGAAGAAAATAATGTCGATTCGCCGCCGTTCGCAGCAATTGGGCCTCTGTTACTCCACTACGTGGAAAATTTTGGGTGTAAAACCTTATAAGATACAGCTGGTGCAAGCATTGAAGCCACACGACCTCCCACAACGCTTCCCATTTGGTGAATGGACGCTGGCAAAGTTGGAGGAAGATCCACATTTTTATCGAAAAATTGTGTTCAGCGACGAAGCTCATTTCTGGTTGAATGGGTACGTTAACAAGCAAAATTGCCGGTTCTGGAGTGAAGACCAGCCAGAAGCATTGCAAGAGCTACCAATTCATCCCGAAAAAATCACTGTTTGGTGTGGATTATGGGCCGGTGGCAACATCGGGCCGTACTTCTTCAAAGGCGACAATGGCCGGAACGTAACTGTGAATGGCGAGCGCTACCGTGCGATGATAACAAACTTTTTTTTGCCCAAAATGGGAGAGCTGGACTTGGCTGACATGTGGTTTCAACAAGACGGTGCCACATGCCACACCGCACACGAAACAATGGCCCAATTGAGAGGCGAGTTCGGTGAACAGTTTATCTCACGTTTGGGGCCCGTCAATTGGCCGCCTAGATCGTGTGATTTAACGCCGTTGGACTATTTCTTGTGGGGCCATGTTAAGGCTAATGTCTACAGGGATAAACCAGCAACGACTGATGCACTGTAATCGAATATTGAAGCATTTATTCGTGAGATACCGGCCGATATGTTGGAGAGAGTGTGCCAAAATTGGACCTTGCGCATGGACCATCTAAAGCGGAGCCGCGGCCAACATTTACATGAAATAATCTTTAAACATTAAATTATATCGACCGTTCTATCGACTCAAATAAAGATTTGATCGTTTTTTCAAATTTTTTGTGTTTTTTTGGAAAATCAAATCCTATACCTCTTAAAAAATCACCCGTTATATCCTTCCATACTTCCATGCTCTTCAAATTACCGATTAGCGATGGCTTGAGTACTACTGAATCTATCTCTCAGAGCCAGAAGTCGTAACCGGCGATCTCGTCGCTTTGAGGTCCCTCCCTGATGTCCAGAACCCCTCCCTCGCTGTCCTCGGCCTTCTCTTATCGATAGACCGGCTTCACGCATTTCTTATGTGTCATTGTATATTTTGATCGAGTTGTAAATAAACGACAGGCAGAAAATGTAGTACGGTAAACAGCAACATTTCTAGGCGACTTTTAAATCTGAAGTTGAATCCGTCTTACTACGGCGAGGTACAAACTTGTTACAAAGATAAGAATGCGGATTGGGTTGTTAATATTTTATGGGTAAGAGTGAGCATTTGGAACTTTTGTAAGCATCGTCCATACATAACCAACCCAGCTCACTAATATAACATGAAATATTCTCGTACTTACTTGAAATAAAAAATAATCTACAAATGTTTTGCACTTTCTGCATTCTGTTCTTAGTGGCAGCATCGAGACTACACATCAGTAAGAGAGTATAGGAAAGAGTAGCGTCTCACAAAGTTTTTTCCTTGTATTGAAATTTAATATACAAAAAGTTCGTATGACCCATGGTCCAAAAGTCAATAGATTTTTGTCTAAGTGGCTTTATAGTTTAAAACTTTAAGTGCTTTATATCGACTACAATCACCACAATCTTACTAATTTTTATATACCATGTTTAATTTTTTGGTCGGTGTTTACAAATTTATGGTAGTGAGTGATACTGTGTAAGAAATAAAGCTGTCTTATATCATACATTCGAACATCTGCGTATAATTTTTCAGTGGGATAAAGTTTCGGTTTTTTAAATATCATTTTTAGAATACTTTTTTGAAAAACATCTAAATTATAGATATGTGAGGAACATGCAGCTCCCCATGCTAATATACCATATGTGAGATGAGGCTCAATCAGTGCATGGTATAATGTTCGAAGATATTTTTCTGTCAATATATTCCCAAGGTATTTAATTTTGTAGGATACAAATCTAACTTTCTTTAAAATATAATTGACATGGATGTCCCATCGTAAGTGGAGATCCAAGACCACTCCAAGGTATTTTATGTTGGGCACTCTATTAATTTGCATTTTTTGATCATTAATGTTGAAGGAGATATTTGTGTAATTTGGCAGATGTCTAGCATAAGATCCAAATGGTAAAAAATGTGTTTTAGAGTAGTTAATGCTTAATTTTCTACTGTTAAACCACCGAATAATTTTGATAAAATCATTTTCAATTACATTTTTCAGATCAGACCAGTCAGTACCTCCATATAATATTGCAGTATCATCTGCAAAACTAGTTATTTTGCCAACACAATTAATTTGGAAAATATCATTTAAATATATATTGAATAACAGCGGACCTAAGACAGTTCCTCGTGGGACACCACACTTAATATACATTTCTTTACTAAATGATCCTGATATCTGCACAGATTGTGGGCGATTTGACAAATAATTTTCGATCAGTGAGTACGCGTTTCCTCTGAAACCAATTCTCTCCAATGCTTCTAATAATAATTTGTGACTAACTGTGTCGAAAGCTTTCTTTAAATCAACAAAAACGCAGATTGAAGGGATTCTGTTATCAATATTTTGATGTATTTGATTTACAATTTTAGTTATTGCGTCCGATGTAGCCTTCCCTTCTGTAAATCCATATTGATTTTCACTTAAAATTTTGAATTTTGTGAGGTATCGTATAAACTAATCCAAAACGTTTTTAAAATGGGTAATTTACTTTAGTCGCTTTTCTCTAAAAAAATGCCGTTTGCCCTCTATGTTATATGAAACTTTTTGCTTCTCTTAACGCCCCTCTATCACCCATTTAAATAATGACTATCATAACGTTTACACCCTGTATGTTTACTAGTATGAAGGCGTTTAAGAACAATATACACTTTTTTTAAAAATATTAGCATGCTCCTTGAAACGTAAAAATCCATCAAATATCAGTGCCTAATCTGTCAACACATGTGGTTTTATTGGTCAGACAGGCATGTGAAAAATGTTCCTTGTATCAGTAGCATCTGGGCAGGTTGAGATTTTAGTGCCAATGTTTACGATTACAAAAAGTTGTTATCATTCTTTTATTGCTGTAGGTACTTTCTGCTCCACAAATGCTGTCACTCGTCACTCGTTGTCGAGTAACTCTGTATAAAAACATTCTGCTATGATTAAGCTTACCTATGCAGTTTCTTGGTCCTGCTGAAAAAGGTATGTAGGCAAAAGGGTGCCTCTTTGCAGCAACTTCCGGCAGAAATCTGTCCGGATCAAACTTGGTTGGATTTGGCCAATGCGCCTCACTATAATGCAGAGTGGTTGTCGGGAAGCCTACATACGCTCCTTTTGGGATAACAACATTTCCTGAAACAATAGCGTCTAGTAGATGTAATATTTATAATCCAGCTCCAAGCTTCAATATTCCCAGAGCTCATTCATCTAGTATACTACAACTATTTAAAACTGTAATGACTCATACGCGTGATCAACACGTGATCAGAGCTCGATCCCGGCTTCCTTCCAGTACAGCCGTATAGCGTACGACATATGTCGTTTCTGTGGCTTTGCGGTGGTCAACAGCACAGACAGAGATGGAAATAATGGCTGATTGTTCTCCGCCGGTAGAACCAATGAAATCACAGACGCGCCTCGACCGGCAGACTCATAGGCGTCGGCAACGCATTGGAACGTGTTTCGTTGAGCGATCGCATATTGTGTGTTTTTATAAGAATTGTTGTGTGATTGTTATTGTCGTGGTTTCTGTGGTTACTGTTTTGGTTATACTTAACCATGGAGAGTACAAAAGGAACGAGTGGAAGTACTGAAAGCCAGGCAACAAGTAGACGGCTTCGTAAAGCACTGAAGAGGGACGCGAAAGAAATCGTGCTCAACGTGTTCAATTATCTGAACAGAACTATGTCGCAGGGAGATACACTCACGCGTTGTGAAAGTATGACAGGCGTTCCAGAGTGGACCATTCGCAGGGTGGTGCATGAAAAGAAGAAAACTGGAGCTACTACTGATCCAAAGTTTAATTTGAAGGGACGAAAGGCCGTTAAATTGGATGACGATAGCAAAATGGCGTTAAGGCGAACCGTACATTCATTCTTCTTTAGGAATGAGATACCAACCCTCAAGGCTGTACATGCCGCGATCAAGGAAAATCAAATTATACCCCAAATGAGCGTCGAGGTAATGAGGAAATCCCTGCACGAAATTAATTTTCGTTACGAAACGCGTAATCGGAAGTTAGTATTGATAGAGAGACCTAAAATAGTCGCCTGGCGTCGAAAATACCTACGCGAAATGATTGAATATAGGCGACAAAGCAGAAAAATCTATTATTTGGACGAGAGATGGGTAAATGCAGGTCACACAGTTAAAAAAACCTGGATAGACAAAAACGTAGTGAGTAACCGACAAGCAAGCATTGAAGGTTTGTCAACAGGTCTTCGTGGACCATCAGGGAAAGGTCAAAGATTGATCGTAACTCATATTGGTAGCGATAGTGGCTTTTTAGAAGAGTGTGACTTGATTTTCGTCTCTAAGAAAGCAGGTGATTACCATGACGAAATGAATGCCAGCTGTTTCGAGAGCTGGTTTCAAGGGGTGTTTCAGCGAGTTGAGCCCAACTCTGTGATCGTCATGGATAATGCTTCCTACCATAGTCGTCGAGCCGAATGTGTACCGACTATGGGATCTCGAAAAAGTGACATGCAGCAATGGTTGCGCGACGATTCATGTGTGAAAGCGGAATTGTATGAAAAAATTAAACAGCACAAACCTGCGAACATTAGTTACGTGACTGATGAGATGGCCCAATGTGGTGTCACTGTGCTGCGGTTACCGCCCTACCACTGTGAACTGAACCCAATAGAGCTCATCTGGGCTCAAGTGAAGGGTTATATTGCGCGCCATAACACAACCTTCAAATTACCAGACGTTAAGGTTTTACTTGAGACTTCCATACAGCTAGTAACGCCCGAAGCTTGGCAGAATGCTATCCGTCATGTTGTGAAGGAAGAAACAAAAATGTGGCAGCTTGACCACCACATCGACACCATCATAGAGCCAGTTATAGTCAATTTCAACGAGGAAAGCGATAGCGACAGTTTATTACTGTCAGATGTAAGTGGAAGTGACGATGAATAAATGTAATTCCCAAATTTTTGACTTACAATATGTTTCAAACCACTCTTTATTAAGCATGTGACAAATCTAGTTCACCCATGTTAAACATTCATACCCCGCCTATGAACAGCCGACTACTGGTAGTTAAGTGATGTTCACGTGAACATCGATGAGTCATTACAGTTTTAGATAGTTATAGTATAGTAGGCGTTGTTATAATGATACATAGCTGTTTTACAGTTTTTTGAATAAAGCCAAGATGCTCAGCCATTGCTCAGTAGAATTCCACTGCGCTTGCCATGTCAGCATCTCAGGTGTTTGCTCCTTATACTCAAAGAATATAGAGTTACCAGTAGAAGCCCCAAATATAAAACGAAACTGAGACAAATTAGCACATACTAGGCAAAAATTTTACTATGCACGTGTATACCAGAACAAGCTGATGAAAAGTAGATGTTGCACCTGCTGCTAAAAATATAAAAGTTACTAGTCCTAACCTGTGGGAAAATATACGCCGCATGGCTATGTTTTCACCAGTTGTCGCTGAGATTGTGACCTGCGCTTAGGTACTCGTGTGTTTGTTTTCGAATACTGCTGTCATCGGGCGGTCGCTCGCGGTAAACATAAGTTTGGCATACGCATACGTTCCTTGGCGCAGAAAATCATGTGGCGTCCAAGAAGCATTATTATGAGCCGAAAAGCGATTTGCCGCGGCAGGTGTAATCGGTTCCATCATGTGTTAGAATCCATTCCAATTGACATGATGGTTTTTGACTATACACACACGCTTTTTTAAGCCATGTACAGATATGTAACATACCACGAACCGAACCAGTCGACGAACCAACATTGCAACGAACATTACGAGTACCACAAACCGAACGACGTCGTGCAACCCCATCACGCAACAAAATGACGATCCATTTTTGATGTTTGTCGTTCAGTGAAAGACGAATACTAGCGGAAATAGATAGCAGCTGCAGGGTGTCCGCAAAGTTGGGGTTTTCCTTTACACGACGTGTAGATCTTGAAAACATAAGCAATTTCTCTTAGTACCATATACACCAATGTCTTAAGGGAACCGAGATAAAGGGCTCTGCAACATCAAAAATATCTGAATACCGTCCTGTAGCCGCGACCCGCCGGGATACCCCCGACACTACGACTGGTACAAGGTCTCAACCCTACGGCAGAACTGGGTCGGGGTCAGTGTGTCAGGTTAGTATGCAACCTTCAACCGACGGTTGCAGTCACGCCTGTAGAGGTAAACGAACTCGTATAATCGATTGCGTTTCAAAAAACAACAAGCACTAGAGACGTGGCTACAAAAGTGCAAGTATCAAAAACTAAAGTGTGGCAAACGCTGCGTGAAGAGGGGCTATATCCGTTTCACGTCCAACGTGTACAAGCCCTTCAACCTGCCGATTTTCCAGCAAGAGTACGGTTTTGTGAGAACATGACAATAATCCGGACTTTTTGAAGTGCATATTGGTGACAGACGAATCTACGTTCACGCGTAATGGGGTGAATAACTTTCGCAACACAAATCCATGGGACGGGATGCAATACCTAGACTTTTCATGCAACATTTTGCCTTCCTTGTTAGAAGATGTGCCATTAAGTGTAAAACAATCAATGTGGTTTCTGCGTCTGCTCGGTAGCGCTTCAGCTGATTTCATTTTCTGTTGGAGCGGTATGATTTCGGGCAGAGACGTACTTAGCCCTTCCCGTCAACTGGAGAGTGAGTACTTTTTCCTTTATTTTTTTTTTACTTGGTCGCCCTCGTTTCACTACACATTACCTTTGTTATTTCAAGGGTAGTTGTTTCTGAAAAGGAAAACCACAACTTTGCGGACACCCTGTATATATATACAGGGTGGCGCATCGAAAACGAAACAGACGCATTTACTGGCAGCTCAGTTTTTTTTTTGGAAAAACGCTCAGACCCGTCGATTTTGTTTTCGAGGGGGACACAAGTTTGGCAAGAAATCACGTTAGCACGTGCAGCCCCCTAAGCGGGGGTGACACCACCCCCAAAATCTTAAATGGAAAGGGGGGTCGAGTGATACCTTATTTTAAAGGTCTTTCATCTCATCAGAACAGTTCTAGGTCAGTTTTTAATAGAACGCGAATAAGGCTAACACCGCGTAGAAAGCAATTATTCATTTTGACATCGACGTCCATGGAAAGCTTACCATTCTGATTTCATACACGTCATATTTGTATAGGTAACGTGCTGCTTTGGATACGATTCAAGCATGATCCTAGTATGATACGGTGTAATGGGCAAATACCTTGAGGTGCGATACAGGGCACATTGGACTTGACGTCCTTACAGCAAATGGAGATATGATATCTTCGCCTTTTTGTGGACGAATATGCCATTTCAGTTTTCAGGTTATGTCTTACCGAGATCAAGGTCCTCAGTGACTTCTCTGCTGAACCAGACTGCAATAGGAAACACTCTCAGTGTTTCTTTTATAACTCTCTCTGTATAATTGAGTTTCCGAAGGTCTGTTGCTTGTACAGCTCTGCTTGGTCCAATTGCGTCCATGATTTCTTCGTAGACTCTTTGCTAGAAATAAAGTTGACCAGGACGATAAAAACATGGTTATTTACATAGTTACTCGTGATATGCTTGGAGGCGACAGAAACATGGTATTCACAGTTAAGCAGACCCGTTAGGGGAACGTCACACAATGAGTATACATATACTAAGTGACATATAAATCCGAACACCCAGTTTAAATGGTTTTATTTTAATAAAATTTTTAACGAAGCATAATAAGTAAATGCTAAAAATTTCAAAATGATTGCACTGCTTTAAAGCCCTTTGACCTTTAATAATGTGTGGATGCACCCTGATGTGCTACGCATTCTCCAACGCGCCTAGGCATGATTCTGATCAGGTGGTCAATGTCCTCCTGTGGTATCTCATTCCAGGCAACCACCAACTCCTCTCGAAGTGCTTCTAGAGTCTGAGGAGGACGTTGCAAATTGAGCAATCCCCTACCCATCATATCCCACACGTGCTCAATTGGGAATAAGTCGGGAAATCTTGGTGGCCATGGTAACAATGTGACATCATTATGTTGTAAGAAGTCTATTGTGACTCTTTCAACATGTGGTCGGGCATTATCTTGTTGGAAGGTTGGATCTGCCAGGGTGTCAAGATAGGGTAAAAGATGGGGTTCTAGAACTTCGTGGATATAACGCTGCGCGTTCATGTTACCTCTGATGAAGATTAAAGGTGACCTGGAACCATAAGCTATAGCACCCCAAACCATAACTCCAACAGTGTGATGAACATGTCTTTCAACAAAAAACTGTGGATTCCTCCTTTCACCACGTCGCCTTCTAACCCTTACACCGACGTAATCGCCTTGAGTGGTGCAGACAACGGTCACTCTGGGATCAGGAATGGATCAGTATTGTCTTTAGTGACGAGTCTCGATTTTATTTAGGCATGCACGATGGTCGTGCCAGGGTTAGAAGGCGGCGTGGTGAAAGGAGGAATCCACAGTTTTTTGTTGAAAGACATGTTCATCACACTGTTGGAGTTATGGTTTGGGGTGCTATAGCTTATGGTTCCAGGTCACCTTTAACCTTCATCAGAGGTAACATGAACGCGCAGCGTTATATCCACGAAGTTCTAGAACCCCATCTTTTACCCTATCTTGACACCCTGGCAGATCCAACTTTCCAACAAGATAATGCCCGACCACATGTTGCAAGAGTCACAACAGACTTCTTTCAACATAATGATGTCATATAGTTACCATGGCTATCAAGATCTCCCGACTTATCCCCAATTGTGCTCGTGTGGGATATGATGGGTAGGAGATTGCTCAATTTGCAACGTCCTCCTCAGACTCTAGAAGCACTTCGAGAGGAGTTGGTGGTTGCCTGGAATGAGATACCACAGGAGGACATTGACCACCTGATCAGAAGCATGCCTAGGCGCGTAGGAGGATGCGTAGCACATCAGGGTGCATCCACACATTATTAAAGGTCAAATGGCTTTAAAGCAGTGCAATCATTTTGAAATTTTTATCATTTACTTATTATGCTTCATTAAGTACTTATACAAAGTTTTATTAAAATAAAACCATTTAAACTGGGTGTTCGGATTTATATGTCACTTAGTATAGTTACTCGTGGTATGCCTGGCGGCGACAAAAACATGCTATTCCCAGTAAAGCAGACCCGTTAGGGGAACGTCACACAATAAGTATACTTATACTGTGGTTGGTACCATCAGGATTTGAATGGTTAGATACATCAGCGTCAGTTGATACTTCTACGTAACCTTACAGTAATTTCTGACGTCCAGGATACACTGTCAATAAATTTCACATTCGATGACAAATACTGACGCATCACAGTAAATCTTGATCGTTTTACTTTCTATTGAACACAATAGGATTTTTGGCCTAGGTAGGGAAAATACTGAATGCTGTAGCCCATTACCGAAACTGAAAAAAGCATGCTGACTAAATGTATACAGGGTGCGCCATCTTTTATGTCGGTATGTAAACACGAAATAACTTTGAAAACGAAAAACTGATTTCTATATATCGGGTATTTTTATTAAATATGGTCCTTTACAATTTATTGGGACTAGTTTTTGGACACAATATCTATCAAGTGGCCACTTTTATTGGTCAAAACAAAATGTGCCCGTTTTCCATTACTTTTTCGAGCATCTCTGGTGGTATAGCGGAGATTGTTTGCCCTGAGTTCTTCAGTGGTCTGTGGGCAGACATAATGAGCCAACATCTCCCGATATCGATTTCCATCGATTGTTTCGTTTTCGTTGAAGAAAAATGATGGTTTTGGCGCAAACGCCGGCCCGGTCATGCAACGGCATTTCGTGGACCTCATGTGGATTTTCCGTCTCCCAGATGCTGCAGTTTTGCTTATTAACACCGCCAGAGAGCGTGAGATAGGCCTCGTCGGTCATTACAATTTGCTTCCAAAAATCTGGTTTAGCATCAACCATGCGAGCGACTGTTTGGGCGTATTCCAAACGACGTGGACGGTCTGTTGGCAATATTTTTTGTGTTAACTGCTCCTTATAAGGAAACAAATGCAAATCGTCCTTCAAAATGAGCCGCAACGTGGTTCCACTGATGCCAAAATGCTGAGCGCGCTGACGATACGACACTTTTGGATTCTGGACAACACCGTCTCTGACCGCTTCAACCAATTCTTTGGAACGTCTTGGCCGTTGATGAACGGTATGTTGACGATCTCCCACTGTCCCGTACTCAAGAAAATTCGAAACCAAACGACGGATAGTGTTTTCAGACGACGCCTGTTTGCCACGATATTTTCGATGATGTGAACACAACTGAACGACGATTTTCAATGTACGTTGTGACTATTTCGTGACTAAAATTGTAGTGAATTGACGTTTCAGAAACACGTATAACCAAATCACTCGGTTGGTAAATATCAAAGTAATTCGATGTCTCAATGCCGACATAAAACATGGCGCACCCGGTATACTTTTCGAAGTATGGACCCGAGAGTCATTGATATTACTTACTTGTACATCCTGGTGAATTCCTAATACCGCGAATACAAATGTCAGTGCACTAGCAGTAGTCTCCATACCCTGCACAGAAAAAAAAGCTCTCAAGTATATAAGAGGGATAAGTCTGCTGACATAGAAATTTAGCGAACAAGTCCTCCTCTACACTGCGTTAAAGAAGGGGAATGGTAGAAAGACTCGCGTTCTTTGCTGAATTCATCCTTATTAACCTCTGTATTTGTCTATATTTTGCTTTAAGTGTGGTAAGTCTGGTAGGACTATAGTCTCTAGGTGATACCAATGTGGAAGAGGGTATCGTATCGCATGGTGCGCCTCTATTCAACACAGTATGACCGAGTTAGACGTACGATGAGTTTAGCTACTCTCTTCTATTTTGGTACTTAACTATGAGTAACATCATACAAAAAGAAAATAACTCACTGCTAACAAAAACAGGTCCACCTCTGCCTTGAGCTCCTCTTCTGTAAAATTAGAGTTCTCTAGAACTAAGTCCAAGAAGGCTAACCTTTTCACAACGGGTTCTGAAATATAACCATGCTATATTTAATAATGTAAGGTGTGAAGATAATCCTCTGCAGCTAATACTAGTTAATAAGACTTGGAATCACGTAAATGCACCTTCTCTGAATGCAAGTGAGAGCTCTGTTTTATTTCAATAAAAACAATTATTACCATTTTGGGAGACTGGATAAACCAACCGCGTTTAAATTTCACTTGATATCACTTACCCTCCTCAATTTCAGCCATTAAATATTCGCAATTATTCCTCTTTTCATATTCCTGCATCTTTCTTTTCACGACCTAAAATATAGGATAAATGGTATGGGTTCAAATTGATAGCAAAGTATACAGGGTGGCCCATCCACGGAATATTACTCATAAATAAATACATTTTGGGAAAATCTATTTATGGGATGTTATACATGACATTCGAGGGCACATTTCTAAAATATTTTCCATTATACAGGGTGTCCCAATTTCGACCTATATATCAAAGTTGTGATTTTTCAAATGGAATGCCTCAAATTGTTTTGCATATATGGATAAACCAATTCAAAAGAAGAAAATTGATATAACATACATTTTGACAGTTTGTAACTAATCAACAATTTATTTGTTTCCAAGGATGATGCGATATTTTAGGGAATGAAGCCGTTCCATAAAAGACGTGCGAATAACCGAAAAAATAGCCGTAAAAACCCTTGCACGAATATACAGGGTGATGCATTTGAATTTTTTTAGAAAAACTTCAATTTGCGTTTTAGACCACCACGTATGAGCAAAAATTAAAATTCGAAAAAGTGGCAAATAAGACAAAATCTGAGGCGTGTAAGTTTTTTTTTGATACAAAATTCACCACTCCAAGTTTCAAAATGGCGGACTGAGGGGTTGCCGAAGTGGGGGGTTTTCCTAGAAAAAACACCTTATATGTCAGTAGCTAATTACCAAAACCCCATAGTATGTCATATCAATCTTCTTCATTTGAATTGGTTTATCCAAATATGCAATAAAATTTGAGGCATTCCATTTCAAAAATCACAACTTTGATATGTAGGTCAAAATTGGGACACCCTGTATAATTGCCAATTTTTTAGAAATATGCCCTCAAATGTCATGTATAACATGCTATAAATAGATTTTCCCAAAATGTATTTGTTTATGAGTAATATTCCGTCCACACACGGATGGGCCACCCTGTACAGAGTCCACACTCCTACATTAAGAAATGTCGAGCACACACAGTTTGTTTGATTTTCAAAAACCTTCAAAAAGTTTGCCAAGGTGGTCACGCGGAAAACAAGATGATCCAATTAACGAAACGTTATTACAGAATTTTTTTTATTGGATTGTTATTTTCATAAGTTAAGTATGTCCTCGACATTTCAGGATCAGTATCGCTCAGGATATACGAGTACATTCAAGACAAATGCTAAGATTGAGTAGGAAAGATTCTGAGAAAATGTGAAAATTCAAATGTAAATTATACTAAGCGACATATAAATCCAATTTAAATGGTTTTATTTTAATAAAAGTTGGTGAATGTATTTTTCTTACTGTAAATAAGGAGTGAAAAAATCTTCAGCCTTATCAGTTGGACATTCCGGTTTTTTTACTGCTTTTTTTTAATTCACTAACGCTCTAAAAATGAATATTTCAGCCGCAGTAAAGAATCAACGTTGGCGGATTTTGGTTCTTGATATCCTTTACGATCGGTTACGATGCCTAGAGTACGGAGAACTGTACGATTTCGTCAACTTAGTGAGTTTGATAGGGGCCGTATAGTGGGACTTCGGGAAGCTGGACTTTCTTTTCGGGCAATTGCAGTTAGAGTGCAAAGAAGTGTAGACACTGTGGTTAGGTGTTGTCAGGCATGGCTTCGAGAAGGCCGTACGCAAAGAGCAAGGGGCCCTGGACGCCGCCGTAGAACAACAGACCGTGAAGATCGCCGCCTAAGATTATTGGCCTTAAGGGACCGTTTCTCCACTACCAGCTCCATTGCAAATGAATGGTTTGCAGAACACGGAAGACCTATTGGCATGCGAAGTGTTTACCGACGAATGAGAAGTTTTGACTTGTTTTCATACCGGCCACACTGGGTCCTCCCTTTAACTCGAGAACACCGACGTAATCGCCTTGAGTGGTGCAGACAACGGTCACTCTGGGATCAGGAATGAAACAGTATTGTCTTTAGTGACGAGTCTCGATTTTGTTTAGGCATGCACGATGATCGTGCCAGGGTTAGAAGGCGACATGGTGAAAGGAGGAATCCACAGTTTTTTGTTGAAAGACATGTTCATCACACTGTTGGAGTTATGGTTTGGGGTGCTATAGCTTATGGTTCCAGGTCACCTTTAGTCTTCATCAGAGGTAACACGAACGCGCAGCGTTATATCCACGAAGTTCTAGAACCCCATATTTTACCCTATCTTGACACCCTGGCAGATCCAACTTTCCAACAATATAATGCCCGACCACATGTTGCAAGAGTCACAATAGACTTCTTTCAACATAATGATGTCACATTGTTACCATGGCCACTAAGATCTCCCGACTTATCCCCAATTGAGCACGTGTGCGATATGATGGGTAAGAGATTGTTCAATTTGCAACGTCCTCCTCAGACTCTAGAAGCACTTCGAGAGGAGTTGGTGGTTGCCTGGAATGAGATACCACAGGAGGACATTGACCACCTGCTCAGAAGCATGCCTAGGTGCGTTGGAGAATGCGTAGCACATCAGGGTGCATCCACACATTATTAAAGGTCAAAGGGCTTTAAAGCAGTACAATCATTTTGAAATTTTTATCATTTACTTATTATGCTTCATTGAGTACTTATACAAAATTTTATTAAAATAAAACCATTTAAACTGGGTGTTCGGATTTATATGTCACTTAGTATATAAACTAGTCACTTTGTTAGGCATTCTGCTTCAATGGGTTAAAAAATCATCGTCATCACTTACACTACCGGTAATGCTGAACAACTTAACAAGATTTTGTTTAAACTGTTTTCCTGGAGACGACATTTTCCAAATAAACCCAATTTTATACCATATCTTTAGTGTGCGAATCATTGCTAAATCAAATATCCTAAAAACAAGAGCGATTTGGTCATATAAATAAACAATAGCGTGTTTCATATACTTGCTTCTCTAAAACAAGACCAAGGTCTCCGTTAGTCGTTTGTATATGCATATCGACTCCCATAGCAGTTTCTGAAATGACACGAAAGTGGTATAAGGATCGGTTTTAATGTTTGTTCAGTTTACTTTTAGTTTAAAATTAAAAAACAAAACCTCTTACTTTTCTGCATGACATTTTGAATGATAACACATAGTACTATTGCTGAAAAGCTGATATTTAGCGTAATCATTTAAGGATATAACTTTTCGTTGCCGTAATATTTCTTGCAAATGTTACTATTCTTTACGTCAACGACGGAATTTACTATCTCATACTTTTTACTGTAGGGGTTTCTCAGAGAGTCATTTCTTCCAAATTAAAAAAAACATCTTTGTCAAATCATGACCAAGGGCTACAATCGTATCTGTTTCATATGATTGTGCTCGATGTACACTATAAGGAACTTCTCAATACTTGAAAAATGTGACTCTTACGGCATATAATGTCCAAAGTACACCTGGTTGCTAGGAGGTAGATTTCTATATCTTTCTGACCAATACGTTTTTTGAGCTGGTCGGCAAACACTTCACTTTGCTCTACGAATATTTCGACGAAACTATCTAGTATCTTCTGATTGAATGAAGGTGCTATTAGTTTCCTATGTTTTCTCCACGTGTGTACTGAAACGAATATAAATACTACAAAGACATTCAAAATATATAATAAATGCGCCAAAATGCAGTTCTAGATGAAACTCGAAAAAATACTTGTACTAGGCTTATACCCGTTTCACAACAAAACAGTTGATTCTTCCATTCCATCTTCATTTCCTTGCAACTGGTGGGTCTTGTATGAAAATCAATCAGTTGGATTTTTCACGCAATGTTGTCTACAGTTCTGGTGGAATGTTTAATATCTTATCAGATACCAAAGCATTAAATGTCTCTAAGCCGGTTCGCAGGGGTATTACGTATATTGAAAAGTGACATTATGTAGGTTTTTCTCTGTAACTTTGAGCATGGACTCTCTTCAGAAAGGGAAATGCATAAATAACCCATCTGGCACATTTAATAGATATACTTGATGGACAGCATATTTAGTAATAATTTTCTTTAATAGCAGATGATTTTACACAGCAGATCATTACACACAATCATCCACATGCGATCTTGCTACTCTGTTGCTCAACCAATTTTCTTTCTGTCACATCTTCTGAGAGATATACTTTGCAGACTATCTAGGTATTCTGCAACCAACAAAGCATGCTAGCGAACTAACTTGCAGCATGGTAGTTGGGGATGTCTTTGAGTCATTTCTCCATAGGTGACGCTCTCAGCGAGCAAACGTGGGATGAAATTCTTGCACACTAGCAGCTATCTAGCAAGAAAGTTGATATTTTGTCGTTTTTTGTGACATAATGTAGTTTTCTTACGTAATAACCCTGCCGGTGGCTTGTTAATTTTAAATTAGACTTTTGAATGTGGACAATACCAAATTTTAGTTCATTTCAGTTGACGGTTAGATATTAAAAAAAATATTTTTAAACTTCAACACCCCGTATCTTGTTAATGAAGCCCTCGAGTATAAATGCTACATAGACGACCCCCCCTAAAAATACGGTCCTGTATACGAGCCCCTTCCCACTTCAGTTGGCCCACTTCAAGATTTGTACCAAAATATGCCTTTATAAACTAAACAATTTATTTTCTCAAAAACATTTTAGATACACTCTAGTCGTAAAAAATACATATTTGAAATCACTTAGACCTATAACTAATAGAACGTCTGAACAAATAAACAATGTGCGAATAAATGCGCCAAGTTAACAAAGCAACAATTGAAAGATTACCATTGGGTAACATCACCTTTATTTTTTATTGCGGCTGAAATTCTTTGGGGCATATTGTTAACCAAGTTTTGGCAAAAAATTCGTGTAAAACAATCACATATTTCTTGAAGCTTTTGTTTCAGTTCGGTGATTGTACGAGTAGGATGTTGTCGTAGAACCTTTTTCATCTCGTGCCACAAAGTTTCAACAGGTGAAAGATCTGGACTGCTAGAAACCCATTTCAAAAGTGGTATATTATTTTCTTCCATCCATTTTATAGCCTTTTTTAAGGTATGGCACGCTGCACCGTCTTGCTGAAACACAAAATCTTGGCCGGATGTCAAACATTCTTCCATCACTGGTAAAAGCGATTCTTCTAAACGAAATATTTGTTTGTATCCACATTTCCATCAATAAAATGAAATTTTCCTACTCCTTTTGATGACATACTGGCCCAGACCATAATGGATGCTGGCAATTTCACTTTTCTCTTCAGACAGTCAACATGGAATGCTTTATTTTTTTGCGAATAACTCTACTGCGACTGTCACCAACACAAACTTCGAATCGGGCCTCATCACTCCATTGTATTGCACATCATTGTTGAGGTGTCCATTGTCTATGTTCTTTAGTCCATCTAAGCCGATTTTTCTTTTGCAGTGGAGTTACTAGTGGCTTTTCTTTGGCCTATAAACAGGTTGTGCAACTTTAGGGTTTTTACTTCAATTTTTTACATAAGAAAACTTACCTTGCAAGTGCTAAATCCCAGTTTGTGGGCCTCTCTATGAGTTGTGGACCTCGAAATTCTCCTTCCAACAGCGTCACTCCACAGAGCACTTAATTGTAAATAATTGGCACGCCTGTTTTTCACGATTATTCTTCTTAATGCTCTTCGGTCGGCATTTGTGATATTACATTTTTTCACATATCGTGGATTAATATTTACTGAACCAGTTACGTTATATCTTCTAACAATATTTCTCACACTGTACCGCGATAAGTCTAACAAAGTTGCAATTTCTGAGTTTGATTTGCCAGAATTAAAAAATTTAATTATCAGTTACCGAATTTTCTCACTAATAACCTTTCCTCTACCCATTTTGAAAACCTTAACTACCCAAAACTGTTTTAAACGTGTTCTGACAGCTGTGATTAATAAAAACAATTGTCATGACTTTTATTTATTTATTTAAAGTTGATGTTTCCTACTATACTATCAAAATATTCATTGTTAATATTTTAAACCTATAACACCCTGATACGTTTTTATTATCTATGTTTGATAAGAAAAAAACTAAGATTTCAATAGTTGGGCCAACTGAAGTGGGCAGGGGCTCGTATGATGTTTCATTTTTGGTCACGACTTGTGAATCACCCTGTATACATTTACACATACTGTAACAAAAGTAAGGGAACGGATTTGCATTTTGACTTTTCACATTCCAACCTTGATTTGACCTTGACTTTTATCTTGCACTTTAATAAATATTCGGACATAGATTTTCTTTCGATTACTGGTTTCAAAAGCAAAAGTTGACTTTGAAAATAACCCTGAGGCTTAAGGTCGAATCCCAAAAGCACTATTGAATCATGTAAAGTTAGTAAAGGCTTGTTCTAGACCTTTTTCAGATGTACCTTACCTGGGAAAATGCAGAGCCTGCATGTGGTGGAAAAAAGAACGTCTCAGAACTAGCTATACAGTTCACCGCAGGAAATTTTATACTGTTACTGTTACTTATTTTCGAGAACCTTTTTAGTTAACTTCAACACTGAGTTAACCTCGACAGAGCCGTTCCGTTACTTCTGTACTCTTTTTGTGGTATACGATACCTTCGGCAGTGATAAGACTTTCCCTGAAGATGTCCTTGAAAGCTAAGTAGAAAAGCCCATCCTTCGCAGCAGCATTCGGGCTTTTCAAGATTTTCTCTATGTATACCGGATCATACACTCCATATAATAAGTTCGAACCAAACCATATTTTGGCGATTTTTGGATACCTTTTCGTTATATTATGAACTACTTGTAGAGCATCTAAAATAAAATTAATGCAATACATAATTATGATTTTCATTTTTCCTACCGTCATCGGTAAAGACTTTCATACAGGGTGTCCTGATATTTCGTGGACATACAAGTACTACGTATATTTAGATCCGAAATAAGTCCATTGGTCAAGATTTACCTGTATGTAAAAGTTCTATAAAAAATGCCATTAGAGATCGCAAAATTACAGCGAATATTTCTCTCATGTATAAGAAATGCTATGAGAAGTGTGGAACGTCATAAAGAATTTCAAAAATCCAAATCACAGGCGCATTTTGAACATTATAAACAGCTAAGGAACTATACAAAGCATGATATTATCCGAGAAACAAATACATTTTTTAACTTACTCTCAACAGGAAAAGGTAAAGAATTTTGGGATACTACCAAAAAGCTCAACTTGACTATACCCGAACACTTACAAAATGTAAATGATATACACAATTACGTCCAATAGACCGACAATTTACCAGACACTGTTTCTAAAGGATTAATCAATTTTTATAAAAACAATATAAAGACCAAATTCTCTTAACTTCCAACTGTTAGACAGGGCAAATTTTATCAAAAATATAGGTAGCACCTCATCAAATGTCATTGGAGAGGATGGCTTCTCTATGAGAGACCTAAAGCTATGTATTCCACCTTGTACGAATGCGTTGCTGAATATTGAAGAAAGCTAGTGTTAAACCCTTACCAAAGGCCTATAAGCATATTACCCGCTACATCCAAAATATTAGAAAGACATATCTATAATCAAATTTAGACATATTTGTTTTTTGTCATCAATTTTATTCTCTACAAAAAAAAATGGTCTTCTATATTCAGATTTGTAGTTTAGCCATTATAATATGGAGAAATATCATCACATTTACCTTTACCCTTCAATCTCTTGACTATACGACATGTTTTTACAGAATGATGAAGAATTCAGCTCCCTACAAATGTGTTTCTATTATTTTTTCACGTAATAAGTGGCAAATGCTTCAGCCTTAGCTTGGCGCTAAATAAAATTATCATTAGGAAGCAATAGTTTAACGATACAACCACCAACAAAATTTACTGTCGTCCAAATAATAGGATTTCCTTATACAAAATCTTCCTTTTTTTGACTTAATATGTAATGGCTATATGTAATGTTTTTTTCCGAAGGACCACAGAAGTTTGCTCAAATTGTGCGCATTTATGTAGAAGACTACAAATACTGTTGGTTTGTTTACGCTGAGCTCATCCAGACGTGTCCTTTATACAGGGTTTGTCCGGAATGTAATAGGACTGAGTCGACTTCGGGGCGATCAGGCAACAAACGCGCCGCATCTACGCACTAGGATGCTGACGCTTAAACCAAACATGATGTTTGCATAAGTCCGAACAAAAAAACAGCCAACCACGGACAGCTGTTCAATACTTCCTTGCTACTCATCAGCATGGTCTAGGCTTGTTTCTGGACGAACAAACGAAAGCTTCACAACTATCCTCTATACTGGTCTATCGAAATACAACACCAGAATCGACCACTGCGGAAAGCGCGTTTAATAGCCCAGTCACCACGTGACCGCTAGGTAGCTGACGATTATAGCTGTTTTTTGATTTGGATTCATGTGGAACTATACTAAGTGACATATAAATCCGAACACCCAGTTTAAATGGTTTTATTTTAATAAAATTTTGTATAAGTACTTAATGAAGCATAATAAGTAAATGATAAAAATTTCAAAATGATTGCACTGCTTTAAAGCCCTTTGACCTTTAATAATGTGTGGATGCACCCTGATGTGCTACGCATTCTCCAACGCGCCTAGGCATGCTTCTGATCAGGTGGTCAATGTCCTCCTGTGGTATCTCATTCCAGGCAACCACCAACTCCTCTCGAAGTGCTTCTAGAGTCTGAGGAGGACGTTGCAAATTGAACAATCTCCTACCCATCATATCCCACACGTGCTCAATTGGGGATAAGTCGGGAGATCTTGGTGGCCATGGTAACAATGTGACATCATTATGTTGAAAGAAGTCTATTGTGACTCTTGCAACATGTGGTCGGGCATTAACTTGTTGGAAGGTTGGATCTGCCAGGGTGTCAAGATAGGGTAAAAGATGGGGTTCTAGAACTTCGTGGATATAACGCTGCGCGTTCATGTTACCTCTGATGAAGATTAAAGGTGACCTGGAACCATAAGCTATAGCACTCCAAACCATAACTCCAACAGTGTGATGAACATGTCTTTCAACAAAAAACTGTGGATTCCTCCTTTCACCACGTCGCCTTCTAACCCTGGCACGACCATCGTGCATGCCTAAACAAAATCGAGACTCGTCACTAAAGACAATACTGTTCCATTCCTGATCCCAGAGTGACCGTTGTCTGCACCACTCAAGGCGATTACGTCGGTGTTCTCGAGTTAAAGGGAGGACCCAGTGTGGCCGGTATGAAAACAAGCCAAAACTTCGTCGGTAAACACGCCAATAGGTCTTCCGTGTTCTGCAAACCATTCATTTGCAACGGTTCCTTAAGGCCAATAATCTTAGGCGGCGATCTTCACGGACTGTTGTTCTACGGCGGCGTCCAGTACCCCTTGCTCTTTGCGTACGGCCTTCTCGAAGCCATGCCTGACAACAACTAACCACAGTATCTACACTTCTTTGCACTCTAACTGCAATTGCCCGAAAAGAAAGTCCAGCTTCCCGAAGTCCCACTATACGGCCCCTATCAAACTCACTAAGTTGACGAAATCGTACAGGTCTCCGTACTCTGGGCATCGTAACCGATCGTACAGGATGTCAAGAACCAAAATTCGCCAACGTTGATTTTTTACTGCGGCTGAAATATTCATTTTTAGAGCGTTAGTGAATTAAAAAAAAGCAGTATAAAAACCGGAATGTACAACTGATAAGGCTGAAAATTTGTTTACTTGTTATTTACAGTAAGATAAATACATTTACCAACTTTTATTAAAATAAAACCATCTAAACTGGGTGTTTGGATTTATATGTCACTTAGTATATATGAGCTTCATTATCGTTCATACCTGTTACTGGTAATGTTAAGAACATATAGGCACTTCCTATCACTGGCAACGCGAGTGGTCCTGGAACATTCCATGAGTACCAGTAGAGTTTCCTTTTCTTCCATAGTGTTTGTAGGTACCAAAAGCAAATTGCCACACAACATATTATTAGGAGATTCTTGCGGACGCTGTCTTGCTTTGCGTTAAATATATGTCTGACGAGCAAGGAGTCCGAAAACATTTTCACTGAAAAATAAAATTGGTGCCTGTATTTATTGTACGCTGTAGCAAATTTGTCCAAAGGAGATAACATTCATTATGGACGAAACATTTCGATACATAGTTAAACTTGTTATGTAGCTCCAGGTTTCGGATAGAGAAGTCAGTTAAACAAAATGTTTTTATTCTTGTTTGTTTTTAAATACAGTCAATTTTCTTAGAGCTTATTTGTCAGAAATTCCTGTAGTCTGGTTAACAACAGTACATTAAATACTCAGTTTGAGAAATTATATTCTTCGGTGCTACGTGTCTCAGGTTATGAAAGTGCTCGACCTTCTCAAACAAGGTATGTCTAAAATCTTTCCACTACTAACACTACGTTCATTACATTCAAATCCAAAAACAGTAATTTTGATAGAAAACTAATAAATGTATCTATTGAAAATGAAGCACTAGCTCATAGATGGATAGTATGCAACTTGGGGATCGTATTTGATGAAAATCTAATGTTCTACGATCATGTCTCACAAGTCGTTCTGAACTCTCACGTGAAGATCAGACCTTCTGATTTTCTGATTTTGATTAAAACATAATATGGAGATTCGGTTTTTGCTTCTTGGCTGATGCAAGCTGAGACGTATCAGTATCCAAAAGGTTCGAAATAGTATTGTGTTAGGCATAGCACGAAGAGAGATAATTTCTAGCCATTTAAAAGAAATAAATTGTACAATTTATAAAGTCAATTTCTTAAATTGCACCGAATTTATACAATAAATTGCCATCAAGTGTGAAGACACTTTCCAAGTTAAGTTTCGCACAGGAGGTTATGCAAATCATTTTTGATAACAACCTTTGAATACGTTTTAAATGTCTGTTCAAATGGCTATTCGTATATATACTAAGTGACATATAAATCCGAACACGCAGTTTAAATGGTTTTATTTTAATAAAAGTTGGTGAATGTATTTATCATACTGTAAATAACAAGTGAACAAAATTTTCAGCCTTATCAGTTGGACATTCCGGTTTTTATACTGCTTTTTTTTAATTCACTAACGCTCTAAAAATGAATATTTCAGCCGCAGTAAAGATTCAACGTTGGCGGATTTTGGTTCTTGACATCCTTTACGATCGGTTACGATGCCTACTAGAGTACGGAGACCTGTACGATTTCGTCAACTTAGTGAGTTTGATAGGGGCCGTATAGTGGGACTTCGAGAAGCTGGACTTTCTTTTCGGGCAATTGCAGTTAGAGTGCAAAGAAGTGTAGACACTGTGGTTAGATGTTGTCAGGCATGGCTTCGAGAAGGCCGTACACAAAGAGCAAGGGGCACTGGACGCCGCCGTAGAACAACAGACCGTGAAGATCGCCGCCTAAGATTATTGGCCTTAAGGGACCGTTTCTCCACTACCAGGTCCATTGCAAATGAATGGTTTGCAGAACACGGAATACCTATTGGCATGCGAAGAATGAGAAGTTTTGGCTTGTTTTCATACCGGCCACACTGGGTCCTCCCTTTAACTCGAGAACACCGACGTAATCGCCTTGAGTGGTGCAGACAACGGTCACTCTGGGATCAGGAATGGAACAGTATTGTCTTTAGTGACGAGTCTCGATTTTGTTTAGGCGTGCACGATGGTCGTACCAGGGTTAGAAGGCGACGTGGTGAAAGGAGGAATCCACAGTTTTTTGTTGAAAGACATGTTCATCACCCTGTTGGAGTTATGGTTTGGGGTGCTATAGCTTATGGTTCCAGGTCACCTTTAATCTTCATCAGAGGTAACATGAACGTGCAGCGTTATATGCACGAAGTTCTACAACCCCATCTTTTACCCTATCTTGACACCCTGGCAGATCCAACTTTCCAACAAGATAATGCCAGACCACATGTTGCAAGAGTCACAATAGACTTCTTTCAACATAATGATGTCACATTGTTACCATGGCCACCAAGATCTCCCGACTTATCCCCAATTGAGCACGTGTGGGATATGATGGGTAGGAGATTGCTCAATTTGCAACGTCCTCCTCAGACTCTAGAAGCACTTCGAGAGGAGTTGGTGGTTGCCTGGAATGAGATACCACAGGAGGACATTGACCACCTGATCAGAAGCATGCCTAGGCGCGTTGGAGAATGCGTAGCACATCAGGGTGCATCCACACATTATTAAAGGTCAAAGGGCTTTAAAGCAATGCAATCATTTTGAAATTTTTATCATTTACTTATTATGCTTCATTAAGTACTTATACAAAATTTTATTGAAATAAAACCATTTAAACTGGGTGTTCGGATTTATATGTCACTTAGTATATTATAGCTCTAGTCCAATTGTTACTAGAATTTTTCTTTTCAAAACTTCTCTTTCCACTTGGTCTACTCATTTCTCTATAAACAAGCTTTATTTCACGTGCAGCAAGTGAGATGAATGTCTCATGTGAGATTTGCGATATGTCATGTTTCCACAATGAAATAATACTTTTTTTATGTCAGGAGTCAAACATTTCATGAATCAAATCTCATTGTGGATCTGCATCTTAAGAAAGGAAGAACCTCCTTTTGGAATAGAGGTGAATTATGAAATGGTTGAATACACGAAATCAAATAAGCATATTCCATACATATTCACTTCTGTCTACACTTGGTTCACTCATTTCCCTATAAAAACGTTTTATCTCATGTGCAGCAAGTGAGATAAATGTCTCATGTGAGATTTGCGATATATCATGTTTCCACAATGAAATAATACTTTTTTTATGTCAAGAGTAAAAAATTTCATGAATCAAATCTCATTGTGGATCTGCATCTGAAGAAAGGAAGAACCTACTTTTGGAATAGAGGTGAAATACAAAACGTCTAAACACACGAAATCAAATAAGCATATTCCATATATATTCAAAAATTCAAGTACGTACTGGTGTATCATGAATATCATTACTTACCTATGTGGAATCAGTAAAAATCAGCACTTGCAGTAACGAGTCGCACCGACAAGGAAGTGATTACGGAGGCAATAGGCACCTTGCTTAGATAACTTATTTAACAATAGTGCATATGATACAAGTTCAATGCTAATATCGAGCGCAGTCACCTTTCTCTTCGCCTTGTACTTCAGAGAAAACAATTATGCGATTTTTTACCATCGGAGCCCTTGACAATCGCAAAATTTACTGCAGGCTATGTATCTATTGTTTTATATATGCTTTTAATAGTACAAGGTGCACACACCATCACTTTAATGCAGCAAATTATTGATTGAGGTATCGCTCATCTAGGAGGAAATGTACATACAGTAGCGACTCGAGATAATCCGGATCAATTAAAACCAGGTGCAATCCGGACTAACGAAAAATCCGGATTAGTGAGAATCATAAGGAAAACAACTTCTTGATATTACAAACATATTTATTTCAGAAAAACTGAAACATAAATTCTCTACATAGCTAAGCAAATAACAAAATAAAAAAGTAAAAAAAAATTTAGTTATTAAAAAATCTGTTATTTTTGTTTTCCTTTTATGTTCAGAATGCAACTTAATAACAGCTTCTTCTCTTTAGTCTTTCAAGGCAAGGATTGTGGTAAGTGCAATATTGTTGTGTTGGAACAGTAATTTGGTTTCCATTTTGTATTTCTACATCACTTAGTGAATTTTCAGAATAGTCATCTTGAAATTCGTCTTGAAGAGTATGTTCTTCAGTTTCTTTCACCCACTCCAAGATTTCCCCTTCTGTAAATTGTTTAGATGATGTTTTTACAAGCATTGTTGAAATGTCCTCAATAGTCTCCATCCGCTGCTTTATTTGTACGCGGAATAAGCTTAATGGTATTAAATCTTAAGGGTCATAATCTAAGTTTTCAGCTAACAACTTTTTCCAACACTATTCTAAAGCAGTTGATACTTTTGTCCATGCATTATGCGATAAGTTAACTGCGTCTTTTAGGTTGTAGTTTTTTAAAGATTGACTAAGGTCATTGTTTTCTTGCTCCATAGTACAGAAGATGTGACCCAATAAAGTTTTTCTATAAAACATTTTGGTTAATCTTATCGCGTTTGTTGCTGAATGACCCGTGGAAAGGTTCTGCTTTATTTGCGTGGCGGTCGCGTCGTTCATGGTGTAATATTTAACAAGATAGAACTTGTTAAGAACTTAATATCTGATTCGGACTAGCGAAACATGACAATCCGAATTACAGAGTTTGCGAGATAGGTCCGAATTATTAGAACATCCGGATTATAGCAATTCGGATTATCGAGTCGCTACTGTATTTTCAAGCAATTAAAATATTTTTATGCAGAATTATACTAAGTGACATATAAAACCGAACACCCAGTTTAAATGGTTTTATTTTAATAAAAGTTGATGAATGTATTTATATTACTGTAAATAACAAGTGAAAAAAGCTGGACTTTCTTTTTGGGCAATTGCAGTTAGAGTGCAAAGAAGTGTAGACACTGTGGTTAGGTGTTGTCAGGCATGGCTTCGAGAAGGCCGTACGCAAAGAGCAAGGGGCACTGGACGCCGCCGTAGAACAACAGACCGTGAAGATCGCCGCCTAAGATTATTGGCCTTAAGGGACCGTTTCTCCACTACCAGGTCCATTGCAAATGAATGGTTTGCAGAACACGGAAGACCTATTGGCATGCGAAGTTTTTACCGACGAATGAGAAGTTTTGGCTTGTTTTCATACCGGCCACACTGGGTCCTCCCTTTAACTCGAGAACACCGACGTAATCGTGGTGCAGTCAACGGTCACCCTGGGATCAGGAATGGAACAGTATTGTCTTTAGTGACGAGTCTCGATTTTGTTTAGGCATGCGCGATGGTCGTGCCAGGGTTAGAAGGCGACGTGGTGGAAGGAGGAATCCACAGTTTTTTGTTGAAAGACATGTTCATCACACTGTTGGAGTTATGGTTTGGGGTGCTATAGCTTATGGTTTCAGGTCACCTTTAATCTTCATCAGAGGTAACATGAACGCTCAGCGTTATATCCACGAAGTTCTAGAGCCCCATCTTTTACCCTATCTTGACACCCTGGCAGATCCAACTTTCCAACAAGATAATGCCCGACCACATGTTGCAAGAGTCACAATAGACTTCTTTCAACATAATGATGTCACATTGTTACCATGGCCACCAAGATCTCCCGACTTATCCCCAATTGAGCACGTGTGGGATATGATGGGTAGGAGATTGCTCAATTTGCAACGTCCTCCTCAGACTCTAGAAGCACTTCGAGAGGAGTTGGTGGTTGCCTGGAATGAGATACCACAGGAGGACATTGACCACCTGATCAGAAGCATGCCTAGGCGCGTTGGAGAATGCGTAGCACATCAGGGTGCGTCCACACATTATTAAAGGTCAAAGGGCTTTAAAGCAGTGCAATCATTTTGAAAGTTTTATCATTTACTTATTATGCTTCATTAAGTACTTATACAAAATTTTATTAAAATAAAACCATTTAAACTGGGTGTTCGGATTTATATGTCACTTAGTATACATTGATTTGGAGGCTGCAAAGCGAAAATTTTTAGGGAAACTTGAAAAAAGTGACGACGAGATTTTGCAGATCGAACAAGTCACCCAATCACAGGACTGCACTTTGTCGCGCCTTCATCGGAGGATCAGGTTGACAGCGTCTCGATTTGGTGAAGTTTGTAGAATAAGGAATACAACAAGCTGTAAGTTCTAGTAAACTCCATCATATAATCAATGCTCATAGTGAAACAGCTTGAAGTAGCGGTTTTAAGCGTTGTAAGATAGAATATGCAGCGATGTTTTCAGTAAAAAAATGCGCATTGTCCAAAAAAACGGGTATCCTATTTTACTTCCTTATGCGCCCATAATGTAGCAACGATCCCGCTGGGAACTGAGGAAGTATTTGTATTGGCTTAATTGACTGTTATGGCCTATTTCATTCCTTTGTTATACATGCTCGTAGTTATTTTTTTTTCTCAAAGGAGCTTACTTATGCTGACAATGATTTTCTGAACTGATGATACCGTTGCTTGGGAGATGCATATTCAACGTACTTGATGCCATTTTTTATTGGTTGCGGATTTACTCTGCTATCTTTGTAAACATTCAAAACCTCTTTTCCCGTTTTCATCCTCACTTGAGCTAACGAGTTACTGTACGAAATCTGTAGCAAAGGCAACATCCTGTTAATGTCCATGCTGATCTGGCCAATAAAATCACATGCATTGACAGAATCTATTTGCTGTAAATGTTTCAATCACAAAGGTGATCTTCAGTACAGTGACAATATCTTTTTTACACGCTTTTATTAGCTTGGCCTGTATGTTTGTAATGGAATCTTTGAGCATAATTTTCACCAATTTCACTGATCAACAGCCAAAAAATATCCTGAATAAAATCAACAAAATATTACTATTTTTAATGTGCTAAAACCGGAATGAAACTTATTTTTTCAATATTAGTTCAAGTTTTAGAGATACGGTAATTATATGTGTTCCTGCTGTGACAGTGTTAATATACTGTAATTCACAAGAATGCACGTGCTACATTTTTATATTCGGCAAGGAAAGATGATGTAATCGGCATGATTGTGTTACGTTATACATACGTGTACATTATATTGTTTTATATTAGCCATTTTTTCCTCAGTTGGCTGACAGCGTTCATGCAAGATGTCTCGAAAGTGTGTAAACAATCCAGATCAGTTTTGTTACGTGTGTGGTGATGTGACTTTTGCGTCTCAGAGACGGTCTATTACTCCACTAATAACAAAGGCATATCAGCTTTATTTCGGTTGTAAACTAGGTGATCAAGACAAACAGTGGGCACCCCACATCTGCTGTAATACATGTGCTTCAAGTCTGAGGAGCTGGTTAAATGGCAAAAAACGGTCTATGCGCTTTGCTGTCCCAATGGTTTGGAGAGAGCCTACAAATCATATTAATGATTGTTAACTTTTGCATGGTACCTTGTGCTGGACAAGCCACAGGTATGTCCAAGAAAAAAAAATCGGTTATTAACTACCCAAACATACCATCTGCGATGAGATCTGTGCCTCACAGTGACGAAAATCCTATTCCAAAACCGCCAGAATCCTACACTTGCGAATCAGAAAACGAATCAGATCATGGCGATCGAGTGATTCGTCAGGAAGAAGATATGCCATCAACGATTTTATACCGAGCACGTCATGCCACCAACCGCCCAAAATAACACAGTCAGAATTAAATGATCTTGAAAGAGATTTAGAACTTCCAAAATGTAAGGCAGAGTTACTTGGATCAAGACTGCAGCAGTGGAACTTGTTAGAAGACGATGTTTCGGTATGTGTTTTTCATAAACGTCACAAAGACTTAGAACCATTTTTCAATATGGAGAATAACTTGGTTTTCTGCAGTAACGTTAACGGCTTACTGGCGGCTTTAAATATAAACTATAACCCAGAAGAATGGAGATTGTTTATAGATAGTTCAACATTGAGTTTAAAGGCCGTGTTATTGCATATTGGAAATATTTTACCATCTCTTCCTGTAGGGTATGCAGTTCACATGAAAGAATCATATGACAATATGAAGTACCTATTGACATGCATAAAATACGATGAGTACCAATGGCATATTTGTGGCGATTTGAAAGTTGTTGCACTTTTACTTGGGCTGCAGCTAGGCCTGTTCGTCAATTTCTAGAGCCAGGTCAAAAAAATGTACAGCATATGCCATTAGTAGATTCGAAAAAATTTTTATTACCACCACTGCATATCAAGTTGGGCCTAATGAAAAACTTTGTCAAGGCATTAGATAGAGATGGGTCAGCTTTTCAATACCTGCGTCAGAAATTTCCAAGACTAAGTGAGGCAAAGGTTAAAGAAGGTATTTTTGTTGGGCCACAGATTCGAAATATTTTGAAAGATACACAGTTTGAAAACACTTTAACAGGTATTGAAAAAACTGCTTGGAATGATTTCCGTCTGGTGGTCACTAATTTCTTGGAAAATAGAAAAGCTGACAACTACAAAACCCTTGTCAAAAATATGCTGGCATCGTATCAAAAGATGGGCTGTAATATGTCTCTTAAGATACATTTCCTACACTCACACCTTTACTTTTTTCCTGACAATTGCGGAGCCGTAAGGGATGAGCACGGCGAACGTTTTAATCAGGATATTTCAACAATGGAAAAAAGATACCAGGGAAAGTGGAATCCTTCCATGCTTGCAGACTACTGTTGGACTCTTGGTAGAGATGCTCCAGAAACGATCCATAAAAGAACAGCAAAAAGACAGCGCATATAGTGATTCTTATAAGTATATGAATCTTGTTACTTTTTTAATATATCCTTAAAAATAAAAAGTTTTTTTCTAAACCGCAACTAATTTTTTTATTTCATTGTCATTTTTGGATTCAGCGCCCCAAAATTAACAAAGAAGTACACTTTTCCCATAAGATACAATTAAAAAGCTAAAATTTGTTGTCCAGTGTTTCCAGAAGCTTGATTAATTTGAAACTTCGCGCACGTATCAAGGACCGATGACAATGCCATGATTTGATAACAGTTTTCCATTATCCCTTTTAGGATCGCCAGGACTGATAAAATCTTTTATAGATCCTCTGTAGGGGAGGAAGAGAGATAGAGTTAGCGAGCGATCTGCGCATGCGTGCAGTTTCGGACTTACTCTTTGTTAGTTCGGGCACTCGACACAGCACAACGGGGTTGGTCTTCGACCGTTCACAAGATGCAAGGACGTACAGTCGATCATGCAGTTCATTAGTTACGTTGGAAAATATCAATTAGATCTTTTCTTCAAGGATATCCAACCAAGCTGGATAACAGTCCATAGACCAAAAGGACAATTGTTGTTTATTTTTCAGATGTTACATCGGCCACGAAAAGGAAAAATACTATAGTCCTAAAAGAAGGTCTAACTAGGCCTTTAGAGGTGAAGTCATCTTTGTTGCAATTATTCCTCTCGTATTTAGAACATTTCATTCACGGATCAAGAGTAAAATTAGTTAGGTAATTAACCAATGATGTTTTTTAAGTCTGAAGTCACTTTAACGCACTTTGTTACTTTTGTAAAAGTGACCATGAGCCGTATTCATAAAACAAAGGATATCCTTGTACTCGCAAATTTTGAAGGAAATGCTCCAGATGGTATTTATAATCATTTGAACTAAATGCTTTTGCTTTTTGAGTATAAGCATATCCTTCAAAGCAGTGACATAAGTAAAAGGATATTCATAATCTTCACCTTATACTTGGCATAGGAAGCATATTCTTCAAAAATTCTGAGTGTGGTCAGTAGCAGACTCAACTTCGTAACCAAAGGTGGTCAAACGATGATGGCGGACATTGTGGATGTTAGGGATGTTAAAACGTACAAATCTCGTTTACCTTCACCTGGTCGTGACTTCAAAAAATTATATCGGTTCGACGAAGCAAATGTACAATGGCTTACGGATAGATTTTTAGTTGAGAATGAGGAAACTCGAGGAGGAGCACTTTCATGTATTCATAAAATGAAGATATGTCTACGCTATCTCGGCGACCCTGGATATCAACAAGGTATTGGTCAGGAACTTGGTGTTAGTCAAGCAACGGTATCTCGGACTGTGGATAGAGTTGTGAACATCATAGTTGCACAGTCGAACGAATGGATCAAGTTTCCAACTACCGACCATGAACTGATGGAGGTCAAGCGGATATGGCAAGGCATGTATAAATTTCCGACAGCAATTGGTGTAATTGATTGTGCACATATAGGAATCCTGAAACCAAATCGTCATGGAGATGAGTATATCAACCAAAAAGAGAAATCTACTTTAAATGTGCAAGCCACTTGTGATGCCAGAGAGATGTTCACAAGTGTTGATGTCATTTGGTCTGGATCAGTGCATCCAGAATATGGAGAAATTCACAGACAACTAATAAATAAAGCAAATGTACTACTTGGCGATGACGGTTGCGGTATTGAGCCATGCCTTATGACTCCCTTCAGAAATCCTAATCCAGGTGCAGAAGTAAATTCTGATAAGCTTTTAAAACAAGAAAGAGTTATAATTGAATGCTGTTTCGGCCAACTGAAACGCCGGTTTCCTATCCTACAGTATGTTTGCCGCGTAAAGTTCGAAAATGTGCCGAAAATAATTATTGTTTGTATTGTACTCCATAATGTTGCGAAGAACTTGGGCGATCCTGACTTTGAGTTACTTGAACAAAACCCAGATGAAGATGAAGGAAATCGTGAGAATGACGAACTTCCTCTCCGCCAAGTAGGTCACCAAATAAGCAACTTGAGTATTATAATAAATAGTTTTACTGATTAAAGTGTGTTTATAAGTTATAATAAGTTTTATTTTCGTGAATGTCATGAGTTACAGGTGGCTTCTGACGCTGCATGATTTCTAATTTCGTTTTATAATACTCTTGTTGTTAAATGCTTGTTTGGTACTGCTGTAATAGCACTAGACGTTTCAATTATTTTGAAGTTAATCCTTTGGTTTCCTCAGTTTCGTATTTCTAATTTGCTCATTTTATTTGTGGTGGCAATGTCTTCTGAATTGCTGGCGCAGTAATAGGTACTAACTGTTTGCTCAATGTGCTCGGTATATAGATCATTTCCTTCTTCTTGAACACTACCAACCTGAATGGCACCTCTAATTTTTCCAATTGTAGGATGTCACCTTCCATAGCTTTCAGCAACTTGCTTTCTCAATCAAACAAATTAAATTGCTTTATTAACAATTTTTCTTAGATCTGTTTTTTCTTCAATCTTGATTTCATGTTGTGGATTTTGTTTAATAAGCCTTTAGTATCTAATGGTCTACCGAATGTTGATTCGTATTTTTTCAACATATTCTTCAAGGCGTCGTTCTTTCTCATTTTATTTTTGGAACATGTGACTTTTGCAAAATAATTGGAGCAATGACAATTTCATCTGCGATGAACTGCAGGTCGTTGCCATTATTTTCTATAGTTTCCTCATCACCTGAGGATGACATGCTTATTACTTTGATACAAAACTGTATCCAGTAAAAATACGGAACGGTCTGTGTAAGCTCTGGAGTACAACTGTCAGTGATGCTGAGTGAACGAACTCCCACGTCAACTACAAGCTGGAACAAGTCGGGACATGTCGCTCAAGATACAAATATCAGTCAACCTTCAACTTCTTCTTGGAGGATATCCTCGCTAGTATAAGGTAATCATTATGAATATGAATACAAGGTTATGCTTATACTTCTACCTTTTTCTCCGAAGCAAGAACTTATACTTTTATCTTATGCTTCCGAGGATACGAGTATGCTTCTCTTTTATGAATACGGCTACACATTTTGCCATTCATGTCAATGATATTGCATGTCAGTAACAATTGAGGATATTTTATATAAATTGTGCAGTGATTCTTAATGCATAGGTGTGTTAATCAGAGGGAAATTAATTCATTTTATGATTTTTTTCTAATTTTGTCGGTATATTTTAGAGATCATTACTTTTATACTAAAATCTGCATGAAGGATGATTTCTGTAATATGTACATTTTATCGCAACGGATTAAATATGCAATATAACAGGCAGTAAATATGAAATACTCTCGTCTTGTGCCGTATCGCTCATAGAATCGCTAGCAGTTGAACATTTTTAGCAAAGCTCTTCATCACAGGGCAACGCGCAAAGGTAGAGCAATAATCGAATTATGGAATTATTACGCCTCTAAAAATTACTCCCCATATTTCCGAACCCATCATATGCGTCGGTGGCGGTGTGCCTCTGGATTGAAAATAATATTTATTTAAAAAAAAGTGCAATTTATAGAATGTGTTAATAAACCGCTTGATAAATTGGAGAACAAACTTTTATAGCAGACACCTTCACCATTCTCAAGACAACTGCGGACTATGAGTGCATAAAATTTATTATATCTCCTACGCCAGTGGACGAGGAAATACTGTAATCGCAAATAATTTCTTGTTGATGTTATACGACCACTGCAACGAAGACTATAGTAACTCAAAAATCCTTGCTTTTGACTTACTATATGGTATCGATACTTTATTGGGTTTTCTTTGGCGGAAGAATCTTCTACGTCATATAGTAAGTATAATAGTGGCGGTTGCTCCCGCGAAAACTACATCAAATTGAGTTAGTTTACTCTTCGATGCAAAAAATTATGAAAAGCGTAATTTAGTGTTAGACCTACTGTCTGACTTATTATGATTTTCGTGGCATAGTTTGAGGTTACGGTAATTAATAGCGAAAACGTTTTCAAAGCGAACTAAAATGAATTCAACTACCAAAATGATTCTGGCAGATGCAAAGACGCTAAGCGCAATTGCTGAACCGTTAAATTCAGGCGAGTTTGCTTTATAAACAGTGATGAATTCTTTTAACACAGCAAAAAGTTTCAAACATGCATCCTCTTCTGCACGTTATGCATTGGGATCTGTCGCATCAAAGTTTGCATCTCTCATGCCTGTTAAATAAAAAAGTTTAACAGAGAATTCAGCTACTACAGTCCTCGGTTTTGCTAGGACGACACTCGCGTGTTTGCTTTTCATTCTTGCATTTCCAAGTCTGGACCTGATGCGTACGTATATTACAGAACTATATCGTACTGATGAGGACTAAAGAGCCCTGTCTGCGGTTGGTCGGGGATCCATCAGTTTTAAGTAAAAATTAAAATCTGAAAATTGGAACAAAGACGATTGTGGAGAAAAGTTGAAAATAAATAAGTGACTCGTGAAATGAAATAATGGGTGATTTTTTTGCTAGTATCTTTTTGGCAACACTGTTTTTGACAGATGACGCGTGAATCGTGTCTTGTGTCGTTGTCAAACTTGTTCAATTTGGTCTATAATTTAACCATGAATCGACTTGCGCTTGCAAATTATTGAATTTTACTATCAAAATTCATGCTCGGTTAAGAGAGCACTGCTTCCAATTTATGGGCAATTTGGTCGGCCTACTGAGGGAGCTATTCGGAAGCTTGTGACTCAATTTCGAACCCAGTTACATTATTGGACATTAAACCACCAACACGCAGTCGTAGATTGAGGACTGAAGAAAATATTGCGGCTGTATCCGCCAGTGTTAGTGATGACCGTGAAATGTCGATTCGCCGCCGTTCGCAGCAATTGGGCCTCTGTTACTCCACTACGTGGAAAATTTTGCGACAGGATTTGGGTGTAAAACCTTATAAGATACAGCTGGTGCGAGAATTGAAGCCACACGACCTGCGACAACGTTTCCAATTTGGTGAATGGGCGATGGCAAAGTTGGAAAGATCCACATTTTTATTGAAAAATTGTGTTCAGCGACGAAGCTCATTTCTGGTTGAATGGGTACGTTAACAAGCAAAATTGCCGCACCTGGAGTGAAGACCAGCCAGAAGCATTGCAAGATCTACCAATGCATCCCGAAAAAATCACTGTTTGGTGTGGATTGTGGGCCGGTGGCATCATCGGGCCGTACTTCTTCAAAGACGACAATGGCCGGAACGTAACTGTGAATGGCGAGCGCTACCGTGCGATGATAACAAACTTTTTTTTGCCCAAAATGGAAGAGCTGGACTTGGCTGACATGTGGTTTCAACAAGACGGTGCCACATGCCACACCGCACACGAAACAATGGTCCTATTGAGAGCCGAGTTCGGTGAACAGTTTATCTCACGTATGGGGCCCGTCAATTGGCCGCCTAGATCGTATGATTTAACGCCGTTGGACTATTTCTTGTGGGGCCATGTTAAGGCTAATGTCAACAGGGATAGACCAGCTACGATTGACGCACTGGAACCGAATATTGAAGCATTTGTTCGTGAGATACCGGCCGATATGTTGGAGAGATTGTGCCAAAATTGGACCTTGCGCATGGGCCATCTAAAGCGGAGCCGCGGCCAACATTTACATGAAATAATCTTTAAACATTAAATTATATCGACCGTTCCATCAACTCAAATAAAGATTTAATCGTTTTTTCAAATTTTTTGTGTTTATTTTAAAATTAAATCCTATACCTCTTAAAAAGTCACCCGTTATAACTGCGACTATGCTGATGATCTCACGATAGTAACATTGATTATCACAGAATGAGACCGCAAAACAATACGCTTCCTTTGCTGTACACAAGCTTGCTTCCAGTAGATGCTAGAAAATTAAATGATTTGCTAGATATTCAGGGTGGCGCATCGAAAACGAAACAGACGCTTTTACTGGCAGCTCAGTTTTTTTTTTGGAAAAACGCTCAGATAGTAAGGAGAAGGATATCTCGCTAAACCACTTCATCGGAAACATAGTATAGTGCGTGAACGATCATTCCCTTGTTCTGCTATCTCCCTCTATGCCCCATAACTGGATGTCATACGTCCATATTGGTCTCAACAAAGCATTGTAAGGTAGTTTCTCGTTGTCCAATGACAGTTCAGATTTCCTACCAATAATCAATTAGATCTATCTGAGTTTGACGCCCATTTGTTTCCTTTTTGGGAAAGTACGCGCTAGCCACGTAAGCCTTCTGTCTCAGTGTATTCCGAGATACTTCAAGATCTGATTGTAGAATTTGTGAATTGTTGATTGCTACTTGTGGACAGGTTTTCGTACACAACGCTTTATGTCACTTGTGCGGATGTTTTATTAACTTTTATCTCTATCTTTAAGTTGGAGCGGATTTATGTGGAGATTTGGCCTGGATCCTCATGAGCCCCCACAAGTGTCGTATCATCTGCAAATGTTGTCTCACATACAGGGTTTGTCCGCAAAGTAGTAGGACTCATTTTCTTCCGCCATGACTGTGCGCACCGACTGGATTCGGTAGAGGGCGTTCCTAGCTAACGAATGAGCGGCTGGTCAGTTGTCTCCACACTTGGAGAGTCAGGACAGGCATTTTCGCGCGACGTGTTTCTGTGAGTGGTGCAGGCCGAAAATGCAGCGTTCGTTAGAGCAGAGGTACGCGATTAAATTCTGTGTGAAACTCGGTAAATCTGCGACAGAGACGTTTGATATGATCAAGCAGGTGTTGCTTCAGCAAGAAGTGGTGTGTTTCGGTGGCACGAGGCCTTTTTGGAGCGCCGGGAAGAGGTCGCTGATGAAGACCGTGCTGGAAGACCTTCGACTTCGACAAACACCGAAAATGTGACTCGTGTGCGCAAAGTTTTGAACTCAGACCGTGGACTAAGCATTCGTTTAATTGCCCAGATGTTAAATTTACCAAAATCTGAGATTCATGACATTGTGACACAGCATTTGAACCTGCGCAAGGTATGCGCGAAGATGGTCCCAAAAGTGCTCACTGACGACCAGAAATTGCGGCGAGGGAAAGTGTGCCAAGAAAATTTGAATGTGTGAAAGTGACCCCCAATTTTTGAGTAACGTAATTACAGGTGACGAGTCGTGGATATTTGAGTATGATCCCGAGATAAAGAGGCAATTTCCGAGTGGCACACGAAGGCGTCTTCCCGCCCAAAAAAGGGAAGAATGAGCAAATCCAAAGTGAAAACGATGCTCATTGTCTTTTTTGACATCAAAGGCATCGTCCACCATGAATTTGTTCCTCCTGGACAAACCGTCAACGCCAAGTTTTACGTAGAAGTGCTCAGGAGACTTAAATGAGGGGTCAGTCGGGTCCGACAAGACATCGCAGCCGACTGGAAGTTGCACCATGACAACGCCCCGGCTCACACCGCCTTTCTTGTGAACAGCTACCTGACCAAGGCCGGCATCCCAACCAGTGATGCCACCTGCCAGTAAAGGAATTATGATACGATGTTACCAGAATTATCAATTTTTCTTCAAAATTATGTTACAAATAGTGTTCCTTTAAGACAAAAAATACACATAGTTAATATAGGTTCTTTAATGTAAAAATCTCATAAAAAAATGAAACATTTGGGAAAATCAAACAAACTCTGGAAAAATACTACAAGATATACCTAACTCGAAAACATAAAAAACATTATTCAGGTTCAAAATGAATATCAACAGTTTCATTTTCATCTTGAGCGACATGTTTATAGGACGTTATTCTATTAATCATATTTTGAGTAACATTAAACTTATAACGTTCACGATCTACACTTTGAGATGCCAATAAAATTGAATTTACTCTATCACTGTACAAGCGATTTCGGACATCTGTTTTGATTAAATTTACTTTTGAAAACATTCTTTCGCATGCGGCATTTGAATGAGGAATTACTAATAAATCTAATACAAAATTTCCCAATTCTTTAAATACGTAAACATCAGACATGTCGTGAATTTGGGAGATTTTGTACCAGTATTTATCGATTGATGTTTCATCCTTTATTTCATCACTGAAATTTGGTTCTGACTGGCAATACATCCGCCACTGACCATCAATTTTTTGTATTTGTTCAATATCTTGAGGATCTACAATTCTGGGTAGTAACTTAATTAATGGAAAAAGCGATGCTGGTTTTGGTTTAGAATACCCTTTTTTAAATACTGATATTTTTGACAAAATATTTTCATTAAAATCAAACCGTTTTTTCATTTCATTTGCAGAAGTTATTAAAAATTGACGGCACCGCATGTAGAAATCTTCTTTTTCCTTTTGACTTAATTTATCAATGTTCTGAAGTACGCGAACACCAAGGTATATCTGTTTCAAGTCAATGAACTGACTAGCATTGTTGGGATCGATTTTACCTATTTCGGTTTTATGAATATAATTTGGTTGTAAATAGCTTAAACAAATTTCTTTATAAGTTTCACAAACTACATCATAAACGTGTGCAATTATGACACGCTCACTTTGAAAGTATTCATTTAATTTTACAAATTTTGGTAAAATCCAATGAAGAAAAAAGCAAAAAAGTTAAGTTTCCATATCATTAAGTCTATTGGCAACAACTTCTGAAGCTTGCAGTCTATGTTCGGTCCATTCTTTAACAAAATATAATTGAAGGGGATTCCATTGCTCAATTATCCTTTCCACTACCATAAGTAACGAAAGCCACCTAGTTTGTGAAGGACGTAAAATTTTGTGAGGCTCCACATTACAAAATGTCTGAAATTCTGTAAATTGTGCTTGCCGTTTGGAGCTATTTTTAAAGTAACCAAAAATATTCCTGGCTAAATCTTCACAATGACGGGGCAAAACTTTACAAACCTCACTGGCACAAAGATGTAAAGAGTGGCAGATGCATTTTTGAACTATAATGCCAGTAACATTTAGTTTTAACCTACTTACTACTGAGTTATTGGCACCAAACATAGTGTTACAACCATCAGAACCAAATCCTATAATATTTTGGAAAGGTATATTGTTAGACTCAAATAAATCCATAATTTTTTTATAAAGAACTTCTGCAGTCGCCCCTGTATTTGCTTCATCTGGATTTTGATTTGAAAAACATTGAATCAAATTTAAAATTTTTGTTGTTAACTCATTTGTTTTTTCACTAAAGTACCTAACACATACACATATATTTTTACTACACCTATGTCTGTAGATTCATCTACTAAAATGCTAAACTTTTTTGCTTTTAGTTCATCGATTAGTTCTTCAAAATGAGATTTGGCTAAAACATGTTTTATAACACCTGTTGCTTTGGTTCTTCCCATCTGCATTCCTTGGGCAATTTTCGAGTCAGGAAATATGTCTTTTAATAAAGGAATCAGATGATCACACAGCTTGATGGGTAGATTATGCTCTGATATTAATGCAGCAATTTTTATTTCTGCCCTACTCAGTTGAGCACTAGCTTCGTTTTTATTAGAAAACATAGTAGAAATTTTTGGTTGATTTTTCACAATCACCTTTACATTTTTTAAATGTTTAGCTCCCTTACTGTGATTTTTCAATACAGTTAAATCTGCTTGAATTTCACTATCACAAGCAATACATTTTGCTCGAGTGGGTTTTTCTAAAAACAAAAATGCATATCATTAAAAGTATAAAATGGTTTTATGTTATTTTTTCTACCTTTAACAGCTTTCAACCATCCTTTGAAATGAGGATTGCTTTCCCATTCACATCTATATTTTTGTGGTCTATTTTCTCGTCTGTTTACGTTTTTAGACTTTAATCTTTTTGCCTCCCTTTCTGAATCCGAAGAATCGGAGTAATCATGATTATCCCCTTTGCTGGTACTGGTCATTTTATTTCACTATTTGATCACATCAACACACATTAATAAGGACTCATTCGATCAACTACTCTTGCTCGTATTGAAAAAGAAACAATGAGGATTAGGGTATTCCCCTGCGTACGCTCAAATTCACCGAGACTCGAGTTCCGTAATATTTACATAGATGGCGGTAGGCTTGATTTTTATTCTAATTCCATAATAACCATGCTATTAACTGAAAGAGGTCAGCACTAATAATTATTATCCTTTTTGTTACGTTGCTTTTTTTGCATACAATTAGAACCAATAATTTTGAAAACATAGTTATAGGCTGGGAGATGGAAAAATAATATGTTACAATTATCGATTATGTTACATCTTTTTATTTGCTGTATATTTCAGTAAAAAATATGGTACAATTTGATAATTATGTTACAAGTGGCAACACTGATCCCAACGCTTCCGCAGCCGCTCTACCGCTCTACAGCCCAGATGTGCCCCCCCCCCGGACTTTTTTGTTTCCTCGCATGAAAAGGCCGATGAAAGGCAAGCATTTTGAGACGACAGAGTTGGTCCAAGCAGCATGCACCGCGGCTCTCAAGGCTATTCCGGAGAATGCCTTCCGTGACGCCTTCAATGCTTGGAAATCGCGCTGGCAGCGCTGCATCGACGCAGAAGGAGCCTATTTTGAAAGTTTTTAAAGAATTGTAACGATTGGCTCAATAATTTTTTTTAAATCGACTAAGTCCTTTTACTTTCCTGGCAAATCCTGTATATCGCTTGTAGTTGCAGTACGCATAAGATGGAGGGTAGGTTCTTGTGAAACTATTGTAGTAAATAAAATAGGTAAAGAGCGTACCCAAATACATGAATATATTAATTTTCAAAACTTTCAAAAAATTTTCCAGGCGAATTTCAAATGACTTTCCAACGGTCACGTTTGGTTTGACCTTGAAGAAAATTCGGACAAACCAACCCATAAAAACAGTAATTTCCAAAGCTTCTCAAAAACTTCTTAGATCCCCTTTTTTGCACCGAATGGTTAAACTACCACGACCATGTCTACCCGCGCTAGATGTGCCGGAACTTTGAAACATCTACGCTTTATTTCCCTTATTGCTGTCAATTGGTCTGCCCTGCTGTACCGTTTCCTACACCAGTCAGCCATTCCTAGTTGAATTCCAATTCTTCTTATTCTCGCGTATTCCAATTTAAATCGACTGATTGCCTTTGATGCATCGTCTGTGAGACAATACCATTGGAATCCATCATCATCACCTATAAAAGTCAACACGTGCGTTTTGTTTCATTTTTTTTTGTTTTTCATCATGAATGCAATTGTTTTCGCGTATGTATACAGGGTTATCCAAATTAAGTGTCCACCATTAGTAACTTTGTTATTAGTGAAAATACAAAGTTGTTTGAATTAGCAAACTAGTAGCATTTTTAACGCTGGTAAAAATGAGAAATAAAAAAAAACAATTGAGAGTCGTTATTTTGATTTTTTTCAGTAAAATAACATTTTTTTAAATGGAAACCCCTGTATATTATATTTTTTTCTGTTAAAGCATCAAATTTTAAACAAAAAAGCTTACAATAACTTTTCTCCTAGGTTACAAATTGTTGAAGTTATGGCCTCCAATCTGAAACAATTAAATTGTATCGACAAACTTTATTTTCAACATCAACTTATAATCTTACAAAATACAATAACAATTTTTTTAAAGAAGATGCTCGAAAACACCACCTTGTTCTTCAATACATTTTTGGGCACGTTTTTCAACTGCTCGAACTGTCTTAAGTATGGTCCTACCATCTATCTGGGTTATCTTTTCCCTAACTGCAGTCTTTAACGCGTCAAGGTTATCGTACCTTCGCTTGTAAATTTGGTTCTCTAAGTAACCCCACAAGAAGTAATCAAGTGGGTTTAGATCTGGTGATCTGGGAGGCCACTGTATTGGGCCATTTGTTCCTATCCACTGATCATTAAAAGTAGTACTTAGAAAATGATAAGTACCTCTGGAGTTGTGGGCAGGTGCGCCATCTTGCTGAAAATGCAGATGATGTCTACTTATAAGATCCAATTCGTCTAAGAAATTAGTCAGAATTTCTGGCATAAATTCCACATATCTTTCACCAGTTAGGGTTCCCTCATAAAAGAACGGGCCAACAATTTTTGAACCAATTATACCGCACCAAACGTTGAAACTGAAACGGTACTTGTGGGCCTCGTGGATGTACTAACAAAAGATTTTCTCTTGACCAATAATGGTGGTTTTTTCTATTAAACATTCCAGAATTTGAAAAATTTGATTCATCTGTCCATAAAAGGTAACGAAAGTTATTTACATTTTGGCGACAGAAGCTAAGATACCAATGGCAAAAAACAAGTCTTCTCTCTGGATCCCCTGCCAAAAGCGTTTGAACTGGTCGGTACTTATACGAAATAAATTTGTATTTTTTTAAAATCCTTTGAACAGTACCATAACTGAAATTAGAGTCCTTGAGAATATCTGCTATTGAATTCTCACGATAAGCTTCAAAATATCCAATAACTGCAATTTCCGTGGCCTCGCTTATTATGAATTCTTTTTTTGCCCTTGTTTTAGCAAAAACATTTTCGTTGCCCCTAAATTTTCGATAAAGTCTCAGAAAATATGTTCATACGGTTGAATGCGAGCGGGATATAATTCACTGTAGTATTCTCTTGCTCTCAAGGAGGATTTTCTGCACACTAAATAGCATTCTAACATATCACACTTTTCTTCATGGGAGAACATTTTTCTTTAAATTAATGACACAATAAAGCTTATAAACAAGTATTTACACTAATGTTTGACATTATTTGATTTTATCATTGTTTTCCAAAGCCTTCTAGTTGCGAGTATGTCCAGTTTAACAATTTGTCGCTTATCTTAATGCTGTCAAATCGCGAACGCCATGTTGTTTTCATAGCCGTCTTAATATTATAATACTGCAAATAATTAAAAATATTTATCGTTATTTTGACTTTATTTTTGACTTTAGCGGAAAAGTCATTATGAACTTTTTTGTTTAAAATTTGATGCTTTAACAGAAAAAAATATAATATACAGGGGTTTCCATTTAAAAAAATGTTATTTTACTGAAAAAAATCAAAATAACGACTCTCAATTGTTTTTTTTTATTTCTCATTTTTACCAGCGTTAAAAATGCTACTAGTTTGCTAATTCAAACAACTTTGTATTTTCACTAATAACAAAGTTACTAATGGTGGACACTTAATTTGGATAACCCTGTATATTGATACAGTGATTAACGTATTCTCCAATAATGCCCAAACCTTATGCTGTATTTGACGTTCACATGTAATTTACAATCGTATTGCCAAGTACGAACTCAGCAATTCTTTTGTTTATTATTAGACCTATCACGAATTATCCAAAGAAAGTTCAGCCCACAACATACTTCGTAAGTATTCCTAATAATTCGTATTCTCAGAATTTCCCAGCGGCTGAAAAGAAAAGAACCACAATCTGAAGCAATAGTAGGAAACGTAGCAACGCTGACATCAAAATTGGTATTTTGGAAATAGTAAAAGATACGAAGTTGTTTAATGTATTAACAGTTAGCGATAAATTATTCACTTCAAACGTCTTTTTGCTTTCCGCTTTCAAATATCTGGAACACCAGGACCTTATGAAGCTTACGCACTTTCATGTACCCTCGTTGCAAAATACGAATTTCATGTGAAATGTCAACAGCTGTCAAACTGGCGGTTTAAACCTGCACGGGTAAAAAACCTATAAGATGTCATCTTGCAGACTAGGGCGCAGTCATTCCACGTTGTGAGCGTCCATCTATGGCTGAATGGCTCAACTACACGTACACGCATTGTTGGTTGCATATGTCTTGTGAAGCCGAGTAGTCTATAGTTTTCATCTCTGAGTCTCTGAGAAGAAAGTTGGTTATTTGTTGAATAGCAAGACCGCATCTGGATGATTGTGTGTATTGGTCTGCATGTGTATAAAATCAATGATATTTGCTGTGTGAGAAAGTCATTACTGAATATGCTGCCAATGAAGTATATCTATTAGCTGTCGCCGACTGGTTAATTATATATTATCCTTTCGGAAGACAGGTTATGTTCAAAGTTATCAATTACGATTTTTTAGCCTGAATTCGTTGAGCCCCACGGTGTAAATCATTAAATTTCAAAATTGCGGGCTGGCGGGCTGTGAAACAGGCTATACAAGTCGTATTTTTTCCGAAAGGTCTATCTGAATGTGCAACAAATTATGGGACATTGGTTCTTTGACCTCAGTAACTATACTAAGTGACATATAAATCCGAACACCCAGTTTAAATGGTTTTATTTTAATAAAATTTTGTATAAGTACTTAATGAAGCATAATAAGTAAATGATAAAAATTTCAAAATGATTGCACTGCTTTAAAGCCCTTTGACCTTTAATAATGTGTGGATGCACCCTGATGTGCTACGCATTCTCCAACGCGCCTAGGCATGCTTCTGATCAGGTGGTCAATGTCCTCCTGTGGTATCTCATTCCAGGCAACCACCAACTCCTCTTGAAGTGCTTCTAGAGTCTGAGGAGGACGTTGCAAATTGAGCAATCTCCTACCCACCATATCCCACACGTGCTCAATTGGGAATAAGTCGGGAGATCTTGGTGGCCATGGTAACAATGTGACATCATTATGTTGAAAGAAGTCTATTGTGACTCTTGCAACATGTGGTCTGGCATTATCTTGTTGGAAAGTTGGATCTGCCAGGGTGTCAAGATAGGGTAAAAGATGGGGTTGTAGAACTTCGTGGATATAACGCTGCGCGTTCATGTTACCTCTGATGAAGATTAAAGGTGACCTGGAACCATAAGCTATAGCATCCCAAACCATAACTCCAACAGTGTGATGAACATGTCTTTCAACAAAAAACTGTGGATTCCTCGTTTCCCCACGTCGCCTTCTAACCCTGGCACGACCATCGTGCATGCCTAAACAAAATCGAGACTCGTCACTAAAGACAATACT